GCCTGTGACCCCTGCCTGTGACCCCTGCCTGTGGCCCCTGCCTGTGGTCCCTGCTTGGGGCACCCATTGTCTCCACTTGAGCCCAACATTGAGGGGGGGACCCTCCATTATTTTCTTCCCTTTGCCCCCTCTTCTAAGCTACCCTCCCAGTGTATCTGAGTCTTCCCGGTACCCACCTCCATCCCCGCCACTGTTACCTCTCAACAGCCTCCTCATTGTGTGTCTGTCCTTCTGTCCCCTCCCCTGTCCGTGCTCCATGCAGTCAGGTTTCATGTCAGACCACGTCACTTCTTGGCTCTAAGATCCCACTGTCCACCCAGGAGTCAGAGCTGGGACCCTGCCCCGTCCCAGCTGAGGCCTGGCCCACCTGACCACTGGCCACCTGAGTTCTCCCATGACTGTCTCTCCTCTCTGCAGAGCAACGAAGATTTCCGAGGGGCCTGGAAAGTGGCCTGAGCCATGGAAATGGCCAGTCGGTGCCCATATGCCAGGTCACAAGGGAAGGGCCGCCTACCACACCCTCTCCAGGGACAGCACTGCCCCAGGATCCCTGCCGAGTGCAGAGCAACCTGGCCAGTCCTCTTCCCCGCCTGGGCCTGCCCCTGAAGGACACGACTTGCTGGCTGGACACTTCAGGTTTCCAGCAACAAAGCAACTTGTGGTCACTGGCTGGGAGGCCCCAGGGGAAGGTTCGAGAGTCCCCTGTTCAGCAGAAGAACTTGCGTGTGGGGGGGACGGGCAGCAGCTCCCTCCGGGAAAGCCACAGGCCGCGGGCTCACCTGCCCCTCTGCATGAGGCAGGTCCCCGGAGCCACACTGGCCCCCTGCCCCAACTTCAGGCCGGCCACAGGCTTCAGTCCACTGAATGGATGCCCACGGCCAGGTCCCAGAGCCTGGCGTGACCTGGAGAGCCGGACTGGCAGGCTGGTGGGGGCGCCCCTCACCCTGGAGGACTTAGCTGTCCCTGCCCAGAGCCAGGCTCGGGCCCCGCCCCCCAGCGCCACCTGCCTGCTGCTGGCCTCCGTGAAGCGCTTGGAGCAAGAGGCCGCTGGCCTCAGGTGCAGGGTGTCCCGGAAGCCCCCTGGCCATGCACCGTGGGGCCCCCGCACCCGCCGTGGCCAGGCATTCCCTGCCCGCCCCCAGCCCAGCCAGCCTGTTCACGCTTCCCGGGATGAGAAGAGACGCCCCCGCGGCCTCCTAGAGACTTGGGGGGTCCAGGCCCCCACAGACCCTGGAGCGCTCAGCCAGCCGGAGGCGTTCACCACCGCTCTGGGGACGTTCACGGGGAACTTCTTTGACTCTGAGCAGGAGGTCCTTCCCGCCCAGCCCCCAGGACGAGGAGACAAGTGCCCCCCAGAGCCTCCACGTGGCTGGGAGGCCATGGGGATCCCCAGTCTCGCTGGGGGGACAGGCAGCTCGGAGGCCAGAGGCACTTCTTCAGCCTCCTCCAGCGCCGCTGGGGACGCCCTCCTCGGGCAGGAAGGAGGAGAGCAGCCCCTGCGGGAGCAGGCAGGCAGAGAGGCCAGGGAAACCGAGAGGATGGCTTCCTGTCCCTCAGATGCCACCTCTGCGAGGAGGAGCAGCCGGCAGGTGGAGGCTGGAGGAGGCTGGGCCAGGGTGGGGCTCCCAGCAGGCAGGGCCTCCTGCTCCCCGGCCTGAGCGCGGTGTTGTGTCCTCTTGCTTCCCCCAGTGCGAGGCCCTTAACGGTGTGACCCTGGAGCCCCAGGCAGCCCGGTGAGGCCATGGCTGTGGTGGGTGGGAGAGGCAGGCCAGGCGATGGCAGAGCCACAGGAGAGGAAACATCTTCCAGGAAGCCAAAGGGTGTCATTGGTCCCTGGTCCCCGGAGCTCTCCTGCTGGGACTTCTTGTCCAGCTGTCAGCGAGGGGGAGGTTGTCCTGCGTGGCCAGGGCCAGCCCCTTGCTACTGCTGGAAAGGCCACACAGGAAGGGCCCCACAGGAAGGGCCCAGATGCTGCTGCCCCTGGGGTGGGAGGGCCAGGTCCCTCCCCAATCATCCTGGTCTGTCCTCAGCTCGCAGCGGCTGTCCAGATGTTTCAGAGCCTGGAGGCGCTTGGCCTGGAGGCGGTGGGCAGTGACTGCGGCAGTGGCTCTGAGCCGCAGGCGCCTGCTGCGAAAGGGCCTTCAGGCCTTGCGATGGGCCCTGTGGCTCCGGGAGGCACAGCTGGAGGCGGCCTGGGGGCGACACACCAAGGCCCTGCTAGCCCGGAGCTTCCGAGAGGTCGGGGTCTCCAAGCTGGGCCGGGGGGAGGTGATGAGGTCCTGGTGTCTCCTGGGGAGGTTCGTTCAAGGCCATGACCGACACCCCCTGTCCCTTCTGTCTTGGTCCAGTGGAGAAGCCTGGCTCTGCGGCAGGAGCAAGGGCACCCCCATGTCCAGTCTGTGTCCAGACCCCCTTGTCACGGCCCTTCCTTGGGAAGAGTGGCAGTGGTGGACCCTGCCCAGAGGTGCAGGTCGGCTGGAACCCCCAGGTTGGTCCGTGTGGCCCAGGCGGCTGGCACCCCCACCCTGCCCCCTGCCTTGCTGTCCCCTGTTCCTCCTCCCTACAAGAGGAGGACGGAGGAGCAGGTGTGGACAGAGACCTGGGCACAAGCTGTCTTGGAGCATCACTCTGGCCCTGCAGCCTGGGAAGCAGGACCCCGGGGTGCGAGGTCGGGCGACCCCCGGGTGCTGTTCATGAGGGCTTTAGAAACATCTCCCCTCTTTCTCCCTGTTTCCTCCTTTCCATCCCTTTACTGGTGCCGTTTCCGATGGTGACAGCAAGCATGCTTGATCTAAAAAGAACCCAGGCTGGGTCTGTAGCGTGCAGTGGAGCACCTGCCTGGCCCGGGGCAGGCCCTGGCTCCCAGCCCAGCACAGGGGGAAGTTCTCCATAAAGAAAGAATAAAGCAAGGGCTGGGCCGGGCTCAGCGGTGGGGCGCTTGCCGAGCACAAGCGAGGCCCTGGGTTCGATTCTTGGCACCGCATCTAAATAAATAAACTAAAAGTCCATCAACAACTAAAAAAAATTAAAAAAGAAGAAGAAAGCAAAAGCAGAACCCGCCGCTCCCAGACAGCTTCTGTAATCAGGAATAAATGCGTTGTCTGGGGCGGGGTGCTCGGCTCCCCCAGCTCCCAGCCCCTGCTGCCAGCTGGAGGGGACAGTGGGGACCCGTGCGCTCCCTCCACTGGGTCGTCTGTTTCTCAGTCCAGGGAGACAGAGGCAGGAGGAGGGAGCCCGGCCTCGTCCACTGCAGCCTGGGCAGAGAGCGGATGACAGAGACGGGCGAGTCCAGGTCCTGCAGGCCTTGCAGCAGCTGGCAGGTGAGGTGGGGGCCCTGGAAAGGGGGTGTTGGGGACAGAGTGCCCCGGGCAGGCCTGCAGGTCGTGGGGCCTGGGTGAATGAGTTGACGGAGTATTTGTTTTGGCAACTTCTCTGACGATCTCATTTGGTCCTCACTGTGAGCTCCCTTGGGGAATTCATTGGGCCCATTTTATTCTTGGAGAACTGAGGCCCAGAGACGTGAAGTAATGAGTCTGAGGGCACACAGCAGGTGAGGCACAAACTGTCTTTTTGTGTTTCTGATGCTGATGGAGGCCAAGGCTGGAGGCCTGAACGAGGGACTGTTCCTCACTTACTCATGGCCCCAGAGCTGGGAAGGCCCGGACAGCGGCAGTCTAGACATCAGCGGCCCCTCCTGGCCAGATCCTCCCTCGCTCACTCTCTTCCTCCTCTTCCCAGTCTCCCTCCTGCAGTACCACCTGGAGGACAGGACCAGGCAGGAGCGGGCAGTCCTGGAGGAGGCACCTGGAGCCCCACAGAGGACTCGGAGGATGGCCAGCCCCCCACAGGCCTGGCACCCAAGTGCTGCAGGTGCCTCAGTGACCTCCCAGCCACAGAGAGCTTGGCTGCCCAGGTAGGGGACATGGAGGAGGGTGGGAGTGGGGACACTTGTCTCTAAGTCARCTCCTGACACTGAGAGGCAGGAAGCGCATCCAAAATGAAAACTGCCGCCACTGACCAGCAGGCCTGAGACTGGCCAGCCCAGCCCGCTCCTGGCCCCACTGCACCCACACCCCAGCAGGACCCCGGCTGCTGGGGGCAGATGGGGACTGAGCCGTCGCAGGTGTCTGTGAACACCACCAGGTTGAGGAGGAGGATCACAGAGCCGTCTGTTTCTTTTTGGTGGGGAGCATCTGCTCTGTTGCCCAGGCTGGTCTTGAACTCCTGGGGTCAAGCAATCCTCCTGCCTCAGCCTCCTGAATAGCTGGGACTGCAGGTGCCACCGCCGCCCCCAGCCTGCGGGGCATGTCGCAATACCACCCCCCACGTAAAAACAGGAGCAATGACCCCATCACTAACAAACCCTGGTGGGTGCCGGGCTCCCGATGCTCCGTTTGAAGTCGACCCTCGTTATGTGCCTCTGATCTGGGGAACGGCTGCGCTGTTGCAGGCGTTTGAATCTGTGATTCCCCCGTGGGGACTTCCCTGGGAACTTTTAACACAGGAAGTGACCTAAACCGGGGTCCAGCAGGGCTGTGAAGGTGGAAAGGAGAGAGCAGGGCCTTGGCCAGGTGAAGGGAAGCGAGTGCGCAGAGCCTCCCAGGCGCGGAGGAGGCTCGGGAGGCTCGGGAGGCTCAGGAACAGCGTCTCCCCGGGCCTTGGCGGGTCGGACGGGGTGTGGAGAAGAGGTTGGAAAGGCCTGTGGGGCAGGCCACGGGAAGAAATTGACATTTTACCCTAAGGACAAGGTGGCGGCACTAGAGGGGAGACTGGAGAACTGACTGGTGCGGGCGGAAGCAGCCACTTGGGTTCCCAGAGGCGACAGTGTTGTGGCTGAGCAGGGCTGGCTCCCGTCCTCACAGCAGTTCTCAGGGACAGCGGGCAGGTGGCCAGAGAGCCAAAGAAAGGGCTGGAGATAGCGGGAGGGGAGCCGCGAGTTCCTGGGAGAGCTCACAGGAGGTGTGCAGCTGCCCCATCCATAGTGACAGGCTGGTGACAGGCCGAGGGACGGCACCTCCAGCCCCACCTTGCTTGCCTGAGCAGCGCCTCCTCTCCCTGGGCCACCTCCTGTCCAGCGGTGGCTGAGTGAGTGACACCTTTCAGTTCCACGTCTGTCCCAGGAGGTGTTTGTACCTCAGGCCACAGAGGCAGTGACGTGGCCACCCTGAGCGGGCTTGTTGGCTGGCCTGACCAGCACCCAGGGAGCTGGCCCTGTGCACSAGCAAGGAAGCGGCTTCCGCAGATGACCCAACTCGCCTGGCTCCCAGGTGCCTCAGAGAAGCCAGCGTCCTTCAAGATGGCCTGGTCCCTGGGTCTGGACTTCCCAGCCCAGGCCTGCCCTGGCCATTCCCTCAGTGTGGCTGGGTGTTTGGGGAAGAGAAAGGGCCATTCAGGGACACGGTGTTCTACTGCCCCCTTTTCCTTTGGGATAACTCAAGTCCTGTTTCATAGATGAGAAAGCGGAAGCTCGGAAGGGCCAAGGTGCTGGCCCTCCACCGCCCACACTCAGGGGCGTGTCTCCGTGGGGCAGGGGCTGACCACCGTCCTGGCTCTTCTAGGTGCTCGGGGGCCTGGCCACAGCTGGCACCAAGAGGAGCCCAGGTCCAGAACCCCCCGGCTGACCCCAGGCTGGAGACCCTGAGAGTGTGCCTGGGACGGTGGGTGCAGATGAAGCAACTCCGAGCCTCAGAGGGCACCAAGGTGACCCGGCTGTCCCTCTGCCTGAAGAAGGCGGGTGAGCGAGTGACGGACAAGAGCAAGGGTCCCCTGGCCACTCTGTCACGCCATCTCCCTCTCTGTGGGCCCCAGTGGGATGTGTGAACTCTTACGACGGGAGGTGATAGAAGTGGGGGCTTCTGGGGGCGCAACCCCCTGGCCTGGGGGTGCTCTGGGTGGGGGTGTCCCCAGGGTGGGCCACATTGCTGGTCCCCTACATGAGCTGAGCTGGTGTGAGAGGGACTTTCTCCCACTTCCTCCCACAACTCACTTAGTGCCAGGCTGTCCCACGTCCTGCCTGGAAGGGACTGGTGCCTGGTGTCAGGAAGCTCCTGGCCTTGGAGGTGCCCTGGAGGGGAGGACAGGGAGGCAGTGGGAGGGCCATGACCCTGAGGGAGAGGCTCTGGGCCTTGAGGCAGAGGGGGAGGGACTCACCCAGCTCCCTGCCTCTCAGGTAGCTCAAGCCCTGGAGCCACCACAGCCCGCGGCCTTCAGAGAGTGGCCCAGGCCCAGGGGCCACCCCAGGGGCCAGGCCAGGGCTCCCTCCAGGAGGCCTGCCGGAGACTGACCCTGACCCAGGCACTGCGGCTGTGGAGGACACGGCTCTGTCAGCACCAGCAGGCTACGTAGGTGCCCAGGAGCGTGGTCTAAGGTTGGCCAGGGCACAGGGTGGGCATAGGAGCGCAGTGTCCCACAGGCCACATGGCTCCTCCCTGTGGCCCCATTGAGGGGTGGGCACAGGGGGTCCTAGGCCCTGGGAGGTGGCCAGGTGACCCTGAGCAGGGAGCTGCCAGGATGGTGGAGATGCCTTCCCAGGACAGCAGGGGCCAGGGCTCAGGTCCCAGACTGACATTTGAGAGTGAGGGGAAGGTGATCAGGAGGACCATGCTGCCCGCAGGGATGTCAGAGAAGGTAAACCCAGAACTGCAGGATCAGGAATTCCCTCCCCCTGGGCTGGGGATGTGGCTCAAGCGGTAGCTAGCGCGCTCGCCTAGCATGCGTGCAGCCCGGGTTCGATCCTCAGCAGCACATACCAACAAAGATGTTGTGTCCGCTGATAACTAAAAACTAAATATTAAAAAATTCTCTCTCTCTCTGTCTCTCTCTCATCTCATCTCTCTCTCTCTTTAAAAAACAACAACAACAAAAAAAAAAAACAACAACAACAAAAAAAAAAAAACAAGAATTCCCTCCCGGGCCTGGGGGTGCAGCTCAGCTGGAGCTCTCTCCTAGTCTATGCAAGGCCCTGGGCTATATGCCCAGTTTAACTGGGCACAGTGGCACCTGCCCATGATCCCAACTATTCAGGAAGTTGAGGCAAGAGAATCATGAACTGGGCAACTTTAGAGACCCCATCTCAAAAAAAAGAAATCTGTTCTTGAAAGCCACACCTGGTATCAATCATCCCCCCATACACTTGGCCCATTTGGACCCTCAGTCTTTTTTTTTTTTTTTAATATTTATTTTTTTAGTTTTCGGCGGACACAACATCTTCGTTGGTATGTGGTGCTGAGGATCGAACCCGGGCCGCACGCATGCCAGGCGAGCGCGCTACCGCTTGAGCCACATCCCCAGCCCCTCAGTCTTTTTTTAATTTAATTTAATTTTTTTTTTTTGATGCTAGGGATGAAATGGAAATGGGAAAAATCATGCTAGCGAAACAAGTCAGATTCAAAATCAAGGTGGAATGTTTTCTCTCCTGCAAAAACTAGAGCAAAACAAAAGGAAGAGGTGGGGGAGGGATCAGGTTTCATAAAGCTCCAGAAAAGATCAGAGGAGAGGAACTGGAGTGGGGGAGGGAGGGAGGGAGGAGATAAATGGAATGAATTTGACAAAATCATGTTATATTCATATAAAAAGGTACCACAGGGAATTCCATCTTTGTGTGTATACAGGAGATAGAAAGGGAGTCTAGCCGAGTGGAGAAGGGGGCAGGGGGAGGAGGGGGGGGAAAGGGAGAGAGAGAAAATTGAAATCAAATGATTTTGTCAAAATAAGCCCAAATGTATAATTATAGTACTCCAATTCAAAAATCCACTTTTGGTGTGTGTGGTGCTGGGGACCGAGCCAGGCAGGGCATGCTGGGCCGTGCTCTCCTCCTGGGCTGCACCTGCCTCCCTGAGTCTGTCTCAGTGCCTCCCTGGGACTCAGTCCTCCTGACTCTCAGAACATCCGGTGCTGCCCTGCTGCCTGCAGTGCGTCCCAGGCCTGCTGTTCTTGCAGCTGGGAAATGACCCCCGACCTTGGTTTTCCTGTCTCYGTGGCCAGGCGCGGGCAGACATCCTGTGGCCGTGTGCGGGCTCTGGAGTCGGGTCACTGGGCCTGGGGCCTAGCTCACCCCTGACTAGGGCCATGATCCCCACCCTCCCCTGGGAGTCGGTGATGCAAGCAGAGTGCCAGGGGAGATGTGGAAAGGTCTGGAAACCCTGGCCATTAGGTGGATGTCGGGGTGGGACCCCACTGGGCACTGCTGTTTCTTGAAGCCCCTAATGACCCTAGCGTGCGGCCAGGTTGGAGGCTGGGGCAGGGCTCTAGCCCCGTGTCTGCCCACGGTGAGTCCCCTTCCTGCCGGCCTCTCTGCAGCGGGGACGTCACCCTGCTCTGGCCAGAGACCCTGACCCTGCCACCTCTTCTGCAGCTCCTTCTCTCAGGGCCTGCGGGAGAGGACCCTGTGGCACATCCTGAGCTGGTGGCGCTTGAGGGCATGGGCTCAAGGCACCCTGTCAGGCGGCAGCGAGACCATTCCGGCCCTGGGGCCATGGGGCAGTGGCCCGAGAGCAGAGGCCTGGCTGGGCTGCAGTGACCCCCAGGTTCCCTGGAGCAGGTGAGGGCAGGGTGGGGATGGGCAAGGGGAGGAGTGGGGGGAGGGGCACCCAGGACTCAGCGCCTGGGTCCCTCCCCAGGCTCCCAGGACCCCCRTCCTCCTGGAGCCTCTCCGGGTGAGCTTCCTGTGGGCAGCTGGGCGGCGACTGCAGAGGCAAAGCCTTCTGCTCTGGTGGGCACGGGCCCAGCAGTCCCGGGGCGCAGCGAGGTGGTGCCAGCGCAGCCTGCAGAGGCGGTAGGGCCCCTCCCCCCGTCAGGGCTGTGCTGCCCACCAYGCGGGAGACTGGCTGTTCCCTGGCCCTTCTCCCCGCAGTCCTGGGCCTCACGGCAGCCTTCCCTTGAGGCCTCTCTCATGTCCCGTCAGCTTGGCCCCTGATTCAGGTCCTCCCAGGCCCGTCCTCCTGCCCTGCCTCCCGAGGGGGTGGGCACTCTGCAGGGTCCTCGTGTCTCTCAGAAGTCACAGCTGAGGCGCATTCATCCATCCATTCGTAGCACAGTGCCCAGGAGTGGTCTGCCCAGGGCATAGCCCAGACTTGCACCTCACGGGCTCCGTAAGATGGGGCGGTGGCAGTGCCCACTCCAGTGGGCGCGTCCATCCGGGCCCAGGAGGGCGCTCGGGCCACAGCTGTGTTTGGTTCTGCCTGAGCTTGGGACTTGGGACTGAGGGGGGGGGCCCTTCCTATCGTTATCACCTGCCACATGACCCCCTCCAGGCCCAGCAGCCCACCCACCCCCTGATGGAAGCAGGGAGGGTCACCCAAGCCCTCCCTGCTGCTGAAGGGAGGAGAGAGGGGACTCCTGGCCCAGGGTGGCAGTAACAGTGACTGCCCCTGGGTGGACATGCCCCTTCCCAGTGTCCTCCTCAGCTGGAGCCACTGGACCACAGCCCAAGGTGCCCGGAGGGAGTTGGCTGCCCACCGGGCCTGGGAGCGGAGCTGCAGGACTGCGCTGGAGCTGTGGCGGCAGCGGCTGGCGCAGTGGCAGGAGGCCGAGCAGCGGAACCAGGAGCGGGGCCGGGGACTGGCGCGGGAGGCGCTGCGCTGCTGGCACTCCTGCTGGCAGAGTGAGTCGGGCGTGGGCCTGGGTCATCATTGAGGCCCAGGGTTCCACACCTGCGGCAGGGCACACCCAGGACAGACCGGGTGGCAGAGCAGGGTGGGGGTTGGGACTCTAGTCATGGCTGGGGCCCTGCCTTCCCTCCCCTGGCTGGAGGGACCTTGACGGAGCCACTTGGCCCCTGAGCCTCAGCTTACTCATCTGTAAAAGGGGTACGATGCAGCACCCAGCTCATGGGGTGATCGTGGGGACCTAGGGACCCCCCCCACAGCTCGGCCCACAGCCCAGTTCCTACCCGCTTCCACTGTGATCACCTTCATCTTCCTCCTGTCACCCCAGCCTGGCCTCCCAGAGTCACTGGTGGGAGCTCCCAGGTGGCAGGTCCCCAACGGGGTGGGTGGGTGGCTCAGCAGTGGAGGCAGGGGGTTTGTCTGCACATGCCAGGGCAGGGGGTGGGACGGGGGTGTGGCCAGGGAAGGAAGGGCTTGGTCCCAAGACAGACTGGCTCCTTGGAGGGAGGGGCTGTTTCCTCTGCCCTGTCTGAGCCCAGCCATCATCAGGGCTGCTAGAGCCTCCGTGATTCCCGCTGTGTAACAAATGACCCCAGAACTAGTTTTTAGTAAGTGTTTAGTGGCAGGGATGGAGCACAGGGCCTCAGGCGTGCCAGGCAAGGGCTGTACCCCGGCTGCGCCCCGCCCTGTTGACCAGTCATGAGCCACAGACACTTAGTATCTCAGAGTCCATGTGCTGGGTCCAGGGTGGCTTGGCCAGGCACCGAGGCTACAGTGCCATCTGAAGGTGGGGATGTAGTGTCATCTGAAGGTGGGCCTCTCAGCAGGGTCCCTGCATGAGTGGCAGCTGCCCCCACCCTGCAGGTGAGTGATCTAAGAGGCAGGGAGGGTGCCCGCCAGAAGCTGGTCGTTTATGACCTGGTCAGCACCCCTGCACCTCTGCTGAATGCTATTGGTTGGAAGCAGGTCAGTTAGTCCAGGCTGCACTTCAGGTGTGGGAGGGGGCATTGCACAGGACATGGACAGCAGGAGGGATCTTGGGGCTGACTTATATGAATAGGCTGATGGGCAGAGAAGCGCCTGATCTGTCTCTCTGGAGACAGCTGTTTCTCCAGCCCAATTCCTGCCCATCTGGAATGCTGACCGATGTTGACGCAGGACCTCCTTGGTTTTAAAGAAAAACTAGAAATCTGGATTTAAAATCTGAATTCTAACAATGCCTGAACATGGTCAAAAACTTTTTTGGAAAGGCAGGGGCTGGGGGCGCAGCTTAGTGGCCGAGTGTGTGCTTAGTGAGGTGCCGCCCCGGGTTCCATTTCCAGTACTGGAATTAAGACCAGAACCACCCCACGGCACCCCGAGTCGGGTTGGCCTAGTGACCAGAGGATGGTCAGCTGCCGCAGAAGCGCTCTAACCCAGTCAGTCCGGGCGGCCGCCTCGGCTCCCTTGTGGGTGGAGGGCAGAGGGCTGGGCCGGGGAGGGGCCGGATGAGCTCAGGGGCACTGCAGCCTCTCTCTGTCCCAGGGCAGCAGGTCCTGCATGAGAAGTACCAGAGGTGGGTGCAGGGCCACCTCCCGGGCCTGCGGAGGGCCATGTTCCAGGGCTGGTGGCAGGCAGCGGCTCGAAGGAGGCACAAGCAGAGGTGGGTGGGCCTGGGGCAGGGACGCTGCTCATCCTACCCCAGGGGAAGCAGGGAGCGAGCCGGGGGCTGGGATGCTCGGGTGGCCCAGGCTGGAGAATGAAGAGGGCACCCCAGACACGAGGCTGCGACCACCAACCTCTTGTTTTGTGTTTGGTGGGGGGTGGCAAGCCCCTGCGCTCCCCACGGCCCGACACACCCAGCAGTCCACTGGGCCAGGTCGGTGCTGAGGTTTCAGAGGTGCCGTTGGATGGAAGATGAATGCCTTGGACGTCCACCGTAAGGGGGGCAGGGTGGGCAGCCGCAGCCCTGATCAAACCCACGATTGCCAGAGAGGGAGACCATGATTTTTTTCTTTTCGGTGCTGGGCATGGAACAAAAGACCTCACAAAAATCGTAAAAAGAAACGTTTTGGGGGACTCRATACCCTGAAATTAAGCCGCGAGGACCATGTCTCCTCCCCCGTTCGGCCCTGATTTGCAGTCGTCTCCAGGGTCCCAKTGGCTGGCCACTCGGCGACTGCTGTCTCTGCTCTCACCTCTGAGCAGCCTGGGCTGCTCTGGACCCTTGGAGTGGGGGATCATCTTTCCCCTTCCTCTTGCCAGCTGCCGGGGCAGGCGAGGGCAAGGTGGCAGGGCATGAACCCACACTGCTGGGTCAGCCCCCTCCCAGGGTGGCATCTGCCCCCCAAGGCCAAGATTCAAAGATGGGGTTCATGTGCGTCAAGGTCCCTGAAGGAAAGCAGTGCTTTCTCTGCTGTTTGTTAGCCAAGACGTTTTTAGGGCACAGGGCTATGTACGCCAAGTCATGTGAACCTATGTGACATGGTAGGTGACGAGCAGGTGTCATTTTAAGTAAATGTGACTTTTGACTCTGAGCCAGCTGGGCCCCTCTCCACTCCTGTTCTGCAGTTACCTCCAGGCCTGGCACTGGGGTGAGCCTGTGAGAGGCAGGGGTGGCCTGGGCTCAGAGTCCAGCCACAGAAGAAGGGCAGTGGGGCCTCATTTGCCACTGGCAGGAGGCCCGGAGTGGCCGCCTGGGCACAGGAGCAGCACGTTGCCTAGGCCTGCACCGTTGCTGGAGAGGCCATGTGGAGCAAGGCTGGACACAGGCAGCAGGGGCCCAGGCCCAGCAGGCCTTGGTGACATGGCAAGTGACCTTGGATGGTGCTGTGAGGCCCAGCAGCAGATAGAAGTGAGAGCACAGGCCCAGGCCCCAGGCCAGGCGGCTCTGGGCAGGACCCCGTGGATACACAGGTCCTCACGGCCTGGAAGCTGAGTGCCGGACAGTGCCTGGGAGTGGTGCAGCCCGAGGGCAGCCCCCAGCAAGCTCCGGCTCAGGCCGGGGGCTTGTTTTTCCCAGCAGCAAGGCATATTGGGCAGGAATGGGGTGAGGAGAATGATGGGGAGAGGCCATCTTGGCCACCACAGGCCAAGCCCAGGGGCAAAAGCACAGGTCTGCCACTCTAGCAGGGGACCTTCCTTGGGGAAGTGCCTGACAGTTCCTGTGGCCTGGCCAGAGTGCAGGCGCTCAGCATGGGCCAGATGCAGCAGAGGAGAGCTGACAGGACCGTCCTCTCTGCCACATAAACAGGAAGCTAGTCCCTGTCCAGGGCCCTCTCCACACTCATTTTAACCCAATTCGTCACAAAAGGCGTGGGGGAGGCCCTTCCCAGAGGACACTGGAGAGGGCTCCTGCCCCACCTGCCTTAGAATCCTGGCCCCGCAGCCTCTGGTATAGCCCCCCTCTTTCTCCTCCAGGGTCCTAAAGGCCTGGGCTCAGTTAGTGGCCCAGGGCCACGTCCAGCAAGCTGCCATCACCCAGCTTCAGCAGGCTGGGCTCAGGCGGCTCCTTGGGACCCACTGGGCCCAGTGGCAGATGGCGCTGCTCAGAGTGCGGCTGAAACCATGGACCCAGGCCCAGAGGATGGACCTTGAGCACTGGCCCAGGCTGGCCAGCAGAGGGTGCCTCGTGCTGATGGACACTCCAGCCCCTTGGAAGCAGGTCGGGTGGGGTGCAGGCAGGGTGGGAGGTGTAGAAGTGACCCTCCGACCACTGATTTTAGAATCACCAGTCCATGGTGACAGCTGGCTAGATGCTCCTCTGAAGGCCCAACACCCTCATGGACAGCTCTCCTACCTGGTTCCTAGGTGCCCTCCAGGCTCAGGGTGGCAGGCAACTCTGCAGACATTCACTGAGCACCTCTGGATCTGCTCAGTGCAGACCTGGTTATAGAGTCGAACCTGCTGGGATCTCTGTCTGTCAGGGAGGCGGACACTTAAATTATGTATCATGTGCAGCTTAGGATCAAGAAGGTACATGGGGCCAGTAGTAATTTTTGTGAAGTTTTTTTTATTGGAAAAAATAAATATGCCCATTACAGAAAAACTGGAAAACACAGTAAAAAAAAGTTCTGTCCTAATTTTTACCACCTGAAGGGAACTGTCAGWTTTCTCCAGACCAGAAGCCGTTAGTTCTGACACAGCAAATGGTGATAAGAGGCTGATGGCCTAGCAGGAGGGCAGGGGCCACTACAAAACACAAGATGTGACCCTGCATAGCAGTCTGGGGACATGTCCTTGAGGGACACAGCCCAGATATACTGGTAGGTCAACTGGTGTTTCTGAAGATCTCTGACCATCACCAGGAGTCAAAATTCCAGGAAGAACATGACCAATTTTAGAGATTCTAAGAAAAACTTTAGTGTTTTTTGCTTTTGTAAAATATTTTTTAGTTGTAGTTGGACACAGTAACTTATTTTTATGTGGTGCTGAGGATTGAACCCAGGGCCTCGCATGTGCTAGGTGAGTGCTCTACCGCTGAGCCACAACCCCAACCCCGTGTGTTTTGCTTTTTAAAGTGTAACTGAGGGGACTGGGGTGGTGGCTCAGTGGCAGAGCGCTTGCCTAGCATGTGTGAGGCACTGGGTTCGATTCTCAGCACTGCCTAAAAATAAATAAAGGCATTCTGTCCACCTATAACTACAAAGATATATATTTTTAAATGTAATGTAAATGTATTTTAAAATGACTGGCTTTGGTAGTTTGCACACATGAGACTACAGCAATAGCAGATCTGGCGTCTCAGGGTATTTCTGGATGTGTTACAGCACAAATTTTTATTCAGAGTATTCACACCTTCACTGGTTTCCTGTCAGCAAGGTAAGACCTCCCATCACTGACAGAGAAACCTGGGCTTAGAGAACAAAGTAGAAGCTAGGTGCAGTGGCGCACGCCTGTGATCCCATTATTTCAGGAGGCTGAGGCAGGAGGAACACAAGGCCAGCGTCAGCAACTAAGAGAGGCCCTAAATAACTTAGTGAGAACCTGTCTCAGATAAAGAATATAAAGGGCTGGAATGTGGCTCAGTGATTAAGCACCCCTGGGTTCAATCCCTGATAGCAAAAAAAAAAAAAACAAAAACGAAGAACAAAGTCAATGCTGGCAGACTCAGCACCAGGCGCTCCATCCCAGTCCCTCCCCTCCCCCTCCCCCATGGGAGCACACACTGGCGCAGCCCTCCCCCCATGACACACACAGCGGTGAGCCACCTCGTGTGGTGCAGTCCTGTGGAGCCCCTGGTCTGTCTGCTGTACCACCCGGGGCTGTGGGCTGGACCACTGCAGACAAGTGGCTCCCCTTGGCACCCTCGGGGCTGGGCCTGGCATGGGGACTCACCAAGAGGTAGCTATTACTGGCCCACCCTCTGCTAGGATGTCTTTGGCCAAGTGGGAGGCTGGGCGGAGGGAGAGGCAGCGGCCTGTGCTGACAGCCACTCTGCTCTTGGGAAACTTATCTCCTCCAGGGGCCTCGGGGCTTATGGGAGAATGTGAGGCGAGTGATCTATTTGTAAACATGCAAGCGAGAGGCCCTGGCCCTGATGCTGAGGGCAGGGACTCCCACCTGGTCAGCTGCCCCAAGAACTCAAAGCCCCCTGGATTCAGGTTTTCCTCTCTGGCTGCTCCTGTAGACCCGCAGCTGCTGGACATGGGCCACAGGGCCTGTGCTGCCCCGGCCGACATGGGAGCACGGCCACAGTGCAGAGAGGACACAGAAAGAAACCACCTGGGCTCAGAGTAAGGAGATCCTGCCCCTGGGTGGTCACCAGTCCTCAGGGACCTGGAAATGACCTCCTTGGCCAATCCCTCTTGTGTTTTCCCACTCTCTTCCTCTTCCCAAATGTCTCAGCCAGTTTGAGAAAACAGTCCCCTTGTCCTGCCTCACCCCTGTTCTTTCCCTGAGCCTGGAGACATGGGATAGGAGGGCCTGCTCACTCAGCGCCCCCTGGCCCTCTGCAGTACTCTCCACTTGCAGGTAGCACAGAGAGAGCACCTACCAGTCTGAGCCAGTGTCTTCTCTGCCCAACTTCCTTTTCCAGGTGACAGAGAGCATCCCCTCTGCCCCACCTCTCGGTTCTGGTTGCAGTGGCCTGGACAAAGCAGCTGGGCCTCTAGCTGGCTGCCTTCAGGACTGAGAGGTGGGGGGCTCAGAGCCCTCCAAAGCCAAGGGAAGGCCCCTCCCAGGAGGCCGGGGTATGAACAGCTGTGCACGTGGGCGAGGGTGGGAGAAGGGGCCAGCCTGCACCCCGGCTCAGCTGGGCACTCTGGCCAGTGCTCATTCCTGTAGGATCCCGGAAGAGCAGCCCCAGTCCCATGGCTCTGCGCTCCTCCATGGTCATGGAGAGGTGCTGATGCTCCTGGTCATAAGGAGGAAGTACCTGCGGTGCTGGCGCCTCGAGGTTCGGCTTCACAGGTTCCAGGCTTCCCAGAATGCCAGGCGCCTGGCAGTGATTTGGAGGAGCTGGGCAGATGCTCGAAGGGGGCAGCAGCTGTCTCGGGCCCTGGTGAGTGGTTGCCCCCGCTCCCCCGGCCCCACCTCACACTGTAGGCTCCTCCTGGGCCCCGGGGCACACCTTTCTGCCCACCTCGCCCTCAGCTAAGCCTAGAAGCAATGCCCCCCAGGGCTGGGCTCTGGACCCTCAGAGTTTGAAAGCATGGGACTTGGGACAAGGAAGCTGCAATTACTTACAGGCCTAAGATGACAGCCCTTGGCACATGCCTTTCACTGGGGTGTGGGAGTTGGCGGGAGGCAGAAGGGCGGGGCTTCCCGGTTACCTCGGTTACCTCTCCCCACAGCTCAGGCAGTGGCACCTGGGACAGGCCTGGAGGATATGGCGGCGGCGGGTCCTGCAGCTGCGGGTAGCTGTGAGGCTACAGCAGCAAGAAGGTGCCTGGGTCCTCTCCCAGGTACCAGCCAGGGCCACCTCACTTCACCCAGTCAGCCCTCCCCAAACCAGTACCAGCTCTGGTCATGGCTGGGCTGAGGGTCTTCCCTGCTTGCCACGCCCGGGGGCCCCTTCATTTGTAGGGAAGAGGGGTGGGGTTGAGTGTAGAACATACAGCCTAGAGGCTAGAGCCCGGGATTGGACTAGTGGCCACAAGCTCAGCTGTGTTGAGGTCACTCACTTGGGAACAGTGAGGCTTGGCCTGTGGCACCCGCCTCCTCACTTGCTGCTGTCTGAGGGCTTCCAGGTCATTGTCCAGTCTATTCTGAGCCTGTGCATTTGGCCTGGGGCAGGATGGGCTGGCTGCCTGAGGCAGATGCAGGGGACATCGATGGGGACAGAAAGAGCCAGTACAGGTGTCACTCTGGCAGGCATAGCACAGGCCCCAGAGGGAGTCTGAGACAAACAGTCCTTCCTCTACTCTGATTCCAGGCCTTTGAAAAGTGGCATCAGTGCTTGGTGGCCAGACGCCAAAGGAGGAGCGCCACCAGCAGCCTGAGTCCCCTGACAGGCCAGGCACCAGGGCCTTGAGAGCATGCTGGAAGCTGCCCAGTCCCTGGTGTGGCGGGCTTGGACCAGAACAGGGGTCCAACCTGCTGCGAGGCATTCCCACAGAATAAGAAGCAGAGGAGAGCCTGGCCTTCCCAGGGAGGGGCAGTGCCCCCCACACCCGGAATATCGACAGCTCAGGGAGCTCTGAAGTACAATAAAGGCCTCCGTGGTCTCCGATGCTGCTCTTGCTCAGTCTTTCTAAGAGGCTGTCCCCCCTCATTCCCATCAGCTGGGCTGAGCAGGAAGGGGAAGCCCCTCCTCTGCCCTCAGCTGCTCTGCAGACACCACCACTGGGTGCAGGGCTCCCCCTGCTGAGCCTGGAAGCCCAGGATGGGGGGGCAGCCCATCTGCGCCTGCCAGTCACTGCCCCAGGGAACGTGGCCCCAGGGCTGGCTGCTGGGCAGGAGTGCCAGAGTGGCTTCTGGGCCAGGGTGAGCAGAGGGCGGGCAGCTGGCAGGAGAAGCACTTGCCTAAAAATAAGCCAGGGAGACCGGGGCCTGCTCAGGCGTCTCATCTTTGCCTCTGACAGTTAGTGGGACAGGAGAGAAGGCAACGGGCCCAGAAAGCACAAGGGTTAGGACAGACTTGAACCCTTCAAGGGCACTGTTTCTCAAGCCCTCAGAACACAGACGAGGGTTTCAAACAGTAGGCGGTCAAGAGCAGCAGTGCCTGGTCGTCAGGGGTCGGCCAAGGCTGTCCAGGGCCTGGCGTGGCCTGCCATGTGCGAGGTCTTCCCCTATAATCACAGGTGGGGCTGCTGCCAGCATCTAGAGGTGCAAGGGTGCAGCCCCTTCACTTAGCCAAGTGTCCTCAATGCCACAGTGCCTGTCACCCGTGGTCTCTCTGCCCATCTTACACAGGCCCAAGTACAAGTTCACTGGAGTCCCAGCTGGATCCACAGGCTCCCTGGTGTGAGGGCTCAGATGCAACCACCAGTCTCCCGCTTCCTCAGGGAGGTGGTGTGCGCCACCGTGCTCCCCTGCAGGGTGGCAGTGCTCTCACCAGAGACTGACCCCGACCCTGGCTAGACCAGGGAGCACCAGGCTCCCCTGTGCCACTGCCTCAGGTCCAGCCAGAGCCTGGAAGCCTCACATCGGCCTAGTCACCATCATCAGGGGGGTGAAGAGGCCCAGGCTTTGGATAAAGGAGAGCCAGGATGCGGGGGGGGGGGGGGGGATGGCTGGATACCAGTGGCCAAGCCATGGCTGTCAGGACGCAAGGTCATAGACCTTCTGACTCCCTCTCGCTCTGTGCAGGCCTGTTGAGCAGCTCGAATGTGTCTTCTACCACCTGCCACAGGCAGTTGTCCAGCGGGAACTCATTGTCCACCAGGTTGACCAGGAAGTAGTTGTCGTGGATGTACTGGATGATCATGCGGGACGGGGACTCCTCGTCATATAGCTTGCCCCACCTCTCGATCCACAGGGCGAAGGCCTCATCCTGCACATGCACATGTGGGTGCGCGCACGCACACACGTACACGCACACACAGGCAAGGTCAACAGGACTGCCCTCGGGTCAGGGACCCCTGCGTAGCACTCCAGGGGCTTCTGCCCTTCCGAACATGTCCAGGAGCAGAATAAGGCCCCTCCCAACATCCTTCCCGCCTGGCTCAGAAGTAAACGTGTGAGCATGTGGCCTTGAAGGCCAAGTCTGCTGGCCCTGGGGGTGTGGCCTTCAGCCCTTCAGTTGGGATAAGGCATACCACCTGCCCAGGGTCCTCAAGGAGGGCAAGGCAGGCCCGCCCCTGCCCCCCACTCCTTTACCTTCCAGAACATGAAGCTGACAGGATCCACCACCGTAGGCTGGATGATCTCCCGTCCAGGGAAGATGCCCCATGTGACTGCGTTGGGTCGAAGTTCAGGGGCGTTGGTGACATTCTCACCCTGAAGGGGCACTGAGTCAGGGAGGCAGGTCTGGGCATCTGCAGCCCTTTACTACCCGAGGTTTTTGAGCTCCTGGGACTGCTCTGGGCTTAGCACCCCACCGTGCCTCCACCTGCTCCTCCTGCCCGCAGCTGAGTGGCACTGCTATCCCTGCCAACCCGAAACCCAGAGTTGTTCTGGGCAGTTTCCTCTCCTCGCTGCTCCAGGCAGCCTCTGTGCCCAGCTGCCTGACCGCTCGCGCTGTCTGCCGCTTCTGAATGCCACTCGGTCTGTTTCCCACCTGGGACCACCACAGAGGCCTTGGTGAGCACCCCTGGCTCTGGCCTCCTGCCCGTTAGCCACACAGCTGTTCACCGTGACCTGCCTGAAGTGGTACGGGGGGCTCAGCCAAGCCACTCCACCACTGGAGGAAGACCCCCACCTGCCTCTAGGGAACCCCAGATTCCAGGCAGGACCATCAGTACCCCTGGGATTACTTGACTCTGTTGCATCTCCTTGCTCTGTGCCCAGCGTCTCCCAAGATGGTGCAGCTTGACCTCTGACATCCTCTGCGCTTTCCCTGGACCCTTACTCTCTGTTGGCCAAGTCCTCTCCCAGACTCCTTCCCTGGCCTCCTAGCTCTGACGTCCTCCTCTGCCCTCAGCCTCCTACAGAGCTTCACTCTCTCTCTTGCACTGAGTTGTCATCACCATGTGTCCGTCTCCCTCCCAGGATGGGCGCCCTGCTCAGGGTGCCTGGCCACGCTAGTGATGCGCACTCCAGGCGGGCAGGTGGGCAGGCCTACCTTCACGTCCACGATATGGTAGTGGACCCGGAGCTCGTACTTCTTCAGCACCTGCAGAAGGGCCTCCACGGTCTCGCGGGAAGTGAAGAACTCCAGGTAGGCCTGTGGGAGGTGGGCGCCCATCACGCAAACCCCTCTCGCCAGGCACCCATGGCCGGTGCTGCTAGGCATGCTCCGTGTCTCCAGCCTGCCCTGCCCATCTGGAGAGGGGCCCCACAACATGTGCACAAGACACTGAGGGCATCAGGGCTGGAGGTGGCCCCGCAACTGAGTGTGAAATGCGGAGCTGGTGAAGCCGGAGGCGGAGGGGACCAGCACACGAGGCTTCAGTTGGGGCAGATCCAGGGTCATCTGCCACCTGTCCAGCCACTGGGGAGAAGCACATCTGGAGATGAACGGAGGTTTACCCACTACCAAGCTAAGGGGTGGCAGAGGCCTGATCCATCCCACTCTTCCCAGTCACTGAGCTAAAAAGTTCGTAACACTGTCAGGTGGGCACTTCACCCCAAGGAGCTAGTGTTGGGGAAGTTGGCTGCCTACCCTGACAGCGAACAGCAGAGCTGGTGCCCAGGGCCAGGGCCAGGGCCCACGGGCTGCAGCTCAGAATACAGTTTAATCCAGCAGCTGCCCACCCGGCCTCGGGGCAGCAGCTCCCTGTGAGTGGCCACTCCCATGTTCCTTCCAGGGGCGGAGCCTTTCCATCTTATCGAGTTCTGACCCAAAACATGAAATACATCCCATTACAGAAGACAGAAGTGAAGGCTGAGAGGCCAGGGGTCCGGCTGCCCAGGGATGGCTGATTGGAAGTGTCCGAACCTGGCCACTCTGTCCACTGTCTTTCAAAACRAAAGGCCCAGGAGAGAAAGACCAGAGCTGTGCCCAACCTCCAGAGAACCTGGGGGTGCTGGCAGAGTGGGGCAGCCTGGGCATCTCCACCGTACCTTTTGGAAGACATAGCCCCCGCTGGGGCCCCAGCCCACGACGGGGTCAGAGGACGGCTTCCCGTTGATGTTGGGCTGGGAGTTGATGGTGAGGATGCCCTGCTGGTTCACGCGCAGCAGCTCCTCCCTCATCAGGCTGGTCTCAGTGGCCAAGGGCTCGTCGTTCCAGGGCAGGCAGGTCACCTGGCAGGGAGGGTGAGCTGGGCTGGCAGCCCCTCCCCAACTCGCCCTCCTCCCCCTGCTGAGGCTCCGCGTCCACCATGTGGACAGGGGCTGGCGTAGGTCGGAGCAGTCCAAGTCCATGATCTGGCCTATGGCTGGGGACAGGGCCCCCCACCCCACCTCTGCTCACCTTGTGGCCATGCCGGTTTGGCTCCCCCGAGAGGTAGTGTGCGAAGACCTCGAAGACGCTCTCCTCGCTGCACAGCTCCTCCCCCCACATCTTCAGCAGCTCCTCCCGCGGGGACTTGCTTTTCAGGTAGAAGAGGTAGTAGTCCCTCAGCTCCCCGAAGGCTGGCGAGGAGGAGTTGCCCCTGGCAGGGAGGTGCCCCAAGGTCAGGGCACCCCCCTGCCCCGGGCTCCTGGCAGGGAAGGCGCCACCACGTGCCCAGGAGGACACTCCTGCGAGTCCTGCCCGGCTCCTCCCGGGCACAGGATCTCCCGCAGGAGCATCTGCAGGGGCTCACCAGCGGCCATTGGGAAACTCATCCCAGTCCTGGGTGCGGTAGATGTAGCTCTTTGGTCTGGAAGCCCAAAAGATGGGACGCACATCTTCTTCCCGGCGCTTGGGGTGGGCGCTGATAGCCCAGGGCAGGGGACGCCTGGTGAGGACGGAGACAGACAGGACAAGGAATTGGTGTAAGGAGCAGGAGGAGATGGCGCAGCACTGAACCTGGCTTCTCAGACCTGGCTCTAGACCTCCAGCTAGGGCAGCTCCAGGCGTCCAGCACTTGGAGGCTGAGGCAGGAGGCTCATTTGAGCCCAGGAGTTCTGAGGCCAGTGTGGGCAACAGCAATAGTGAGTCCTGGTCTCAAATAAAAAAAAATAAAAAAAAAAAACATTTGTACCAGGCATGGAGTGTCAAATAACCCCTTTGAGGAGTGTAGTTGAATTTATGCAACCAATGTGTCAGAGTTACCAAATTGGTGTGGTGTTATCACCCTGTACTCAAAAATTCTTGAAGATTTGACGAGCCTGTGGTTATGTGGCTCTTTTCTATCTATCCACATTTACTGTATTAGAAACTAAAAGTGAGGCCAGGCATGGTGGTACACACCTGTAATCCCAGCTACTCGGGAGGCTGACTCAGGAGGATCACAAGTTCCAGGCCAGCCTGGGCAACTTAGTGAGACCCTGTCTCAAAACAAAAATAAAAAGGGCTGGGGGTCTAACTCAGCGGTACAGCACCCCTGGTTCAGTCCCCAGTACCACAAAAATGTAAGAAAATGAACCTTGAGCTACACGGGGTGCTCTCTGAGGAGAGTGAGAGCCAGGGCAGCCGTGGTGCAGGAAGGCTTCTGTGCCACCACGGGCCGCACTGCCCTGATACCGCTCTGACTCTCCCTGGGTCTCCCCAAGCCTCCACCCTCACCTGGGGTCCTCAGTCCACAGGCCCAGGCGCTTTAGCACCTCTGTGGTGGCCACCTCGCGGTTGAGAGTGTAGAAGTGGAGGCCAGGCACCAGGCCACTGTCCAGAAGCTCCCGGCACAGGCTCACGGCCAGCTCGATACCATAGTTGCGGATGGCAGCATCGTTGTCTTTGATGGGCTCGATCACATCCTTGATCTCCTGCGGCACCTCCAGCTTGGACAGCTTCATGAGCTGCCGGAGGGAGGAGTAGCCCTGTCCAAGACACGGGGCTGTGGGGTCAGTTCCCAGCCCACCCCTCCGACACCCCTCTCCCCTTTCCCAGCCCCCACCAGGCCTCCCACAACTGCAGCATCATGCTGAGGGATGGCAGGGTGTGCCCGGGCCTGTCCCACTTCCTCCACTCTCTGCAGAGTTCAGCAGCTGCCCACAGCATTCCTGCCACCAGCCTGGCCAGCCCTCRAGCCCAAGACGTGATAACACGGTGGCCATCGAACCCAGCCACTCCCAAGAAGTAAAGGGCAGATTCCCAGGCCCACACCAGGTTTGTGACATCAGAACTCCTGAGCGGGCCTAGGACCAGGCTGTGGGAAAAGCTTATCGGATGGATCTGATGACAGCCGACTCTGGGGAACACGGACTTTAGCAAAATCTATGAGTTATAATCCCTTTTGTCAGTAGGTCACAACACAGCAGGACCCTTGACAGGCACTGTTGCAGGGGGCGTGGGGTCAGAGGCAACCAAAACCAGGCAGCCAGACACCCCTGGGCAAGACACCCAGGAGCAGCACGGAGAAACTAGAGCATGAAGCCAGCGCCCTCCCCAGAGCCCTGGCCTGTGCTGGGATGGTGGGTGCAGGGGGACAGCTCCCTGGACCCTCACCTGAATGGGGAAGATCCCGGGGAGGATGGGGCAGGTGATGCCCGCTGCAGCGCAGGCCTTGACAAAGTGGAAGAAGGTGTCGGCCTCAAAGAAGAGCTGGGTGACGATGAAGTCGGCGCCTGCCGAGACCTTCTCCTTCAAGTGCTTCAGGTCGTCCTCAAAGCTCTCTGCGTCTGGGTGGCCTTTGGGGTAACCTGCCAAAAGGGACAAGTGTAGGAAGGGACTGGCCTGTACCTGCTCAAGGTACATGGTGGAGACACCAGAGCCCCTGGGAGCAGAGTCCCTGGTCTCGTTCTGCACTGGCACCTTCCAACAGCACAGTGTGGACAGGTGACGTGGGCAGCTGGGTCACGACTGATGTGCCCCCGACCCTGGAGATGACTCTCATGGGAGGCGGCCTGCAGTCACTGTGTCCAAGGCGTGGGGTGGACTGCTCCGAATGCCTCAACCAGCCAGGCAAATCAGCCTGCACTGTGGCCATGGGCACAGGTATCACATTCAGCACTGGCTCAGCAGCTTCTGGGGTTCTGGGCTTGACTTTTGTAAAAAACATTGTTTTTGCCAGGCAGGGTGGCGCACGCCTAAAATCCCAGCAGCTTGGGAGGCTGAGGCAGGAGGATCGAAAGTTCAATGCCAGCCTCAGCAAAAAGAGAGGTGTTAAGCAACTCAGTGAGTCCCTGTCTCTAAATAATGTTCTGCCATGACCTGGAGCCAGAGCAACATCTAAAACCATGAGCCCGAGTAAACTGTTCCTTCTCCAAACTGTTATAGTCAGGTATTTTGGTCACAGYAATGAAAGCCTAACATTACATGAAGAATTTTTAAAAAGTAGAGCAGTTTCACTTTAGGAAGTGAAGAGAGAACACAGTAGTGACTTTCACATGTCTAAAGTCCATTGTGGGGAAAAGGATTCACCTGAGTGGAGCTCTGTATCATCCTGATTGCTAATGATGGCAGAACCAGTACCCATGTCAGCCCTGCAACTAGCTCCCAAGTCTGAACATATTGGGACAGCAGGAAGGCCACATGCTGAGTGTGCAAAAGGTGGGGTTCTGAATTGCCTGTGAGGTGGGACCAGATGCCCTCTGGGATCCCTACTAGTTCTGTGAACTGACCCCTTCCCCACATGACTGCACTGGCTAGCAGCCTACAACCAGAAGGCAGGACTCTGAGCCAAGCCGGGAGCAGATCGGAGACCTGGGCTGTTCGGAAGCCACACTGCTCTGCTGTGATAAGCAGTCCTGTTTCTGAAGCAACCCAGAGTCATCAAAAATGGACATAAAACCTGGGCACGGTGGCGCACATCTGTAATCCCAGCTACTTGGAAGGCTGAGGCAGGAGGATCACAAGTTTGAAGCCAGCCCCTACAACCTAGTAAGGCCCTGCCTCAAAATAAAAAATAGGAAGGGCTGGGGATGTGGCTCAAGCGGTAGCGCGCTTGCCTGGCATGCGTGCGGCCCGGGTTCGATCCTCAGCACCACATACCAACAAAGATGTTGTGTCTGACGAGAACTAAAAAAAATAAATATTAAAAAAAAATTCTCTCTCTCTCTCCTCTCTCACTCTCTCTTTAAAAAAAAAAAATAGGAAGGGCTGGGGATGTGGTTTAGGGGCAGAGCATACCTGTTCAACCCTCAGGACTGAAAAACACAAAACCAAAGGAAAAAGCCAAATAAAAGTTGTTGTCTTAAGGAGTAAAGGGGCAAGGGGATACTTTCAATAGCAAAGCTACTTTTCCAGTAGGAAAAACCACATGGCTATAAAGCAGTGTACCACCAACCAAACCCAGCACTTGGGGACACTGGGATTTTGCTCACTTTACCACATTCTCTCTCTACTGTGAGCAGCTTGGGGCTGTTTGACCCAGTGATCTTCCTGTCACCCGCTTGATGATCAGCAAAGCACAAAGCCACTTGGCGGCTGTACACTTGCAGCTTTGCAGTTCCACCGTGATCAGCCAGCACCCACGACAGCGACAATGCGCAAGYGCGGGCCCAGTCACTGTCAGCATTAGAGCTGGGGAGCCGTGACACCAGGAACAGCTGGAGATGCCTCTTCTCTTCTTAACTCCTTATCAGGGCTTCCCAGTCATGCCTGCTTAGGGACCCCCTAAGGACTTATGTGGGCAACCAGAGAAAAGCCCAAGTCACCTGCAACAAATAATTTTCTTAAAGCCACATAGCCTATTTTTWAAAAATTCAGATTATTTGAGATGTTACTCCATAGCACAGCCGTGCTTAGGTTAATATAAGTATGGTTTGATTTAACCAGGTGTGGTGGCTCACGCCTGTAAACCTAGCAATTTGGAAGGTTGAGACAGGAGGATTAAAAGTCCGAGGCCACCCTCAGAAACTTGGGAAGATCCTGTCTCCAAAAATAAAAAAGGCTGGGGATGGAGCTCAGTGGTAGAGCACCCCTGTGTTCAACCCTCAGTACACCCCCCCAAAAAAAGCATTATTTTCCAAAAAAAATTTGAGACATCCCAAATCAATCCAGGGACCTCTTGTGTCCCTGGCCAAAATGGCCTCACCATACTTGATCCCTGTTTGAGAAGCTGAAGGCCCAATTCTAGCAAGTAGGGGTGGAGGGGAGGCCATGGTATTTGTCCTCCTGGCCGTAGACAACGGAGCTAGTGTTGAACCAATCCCACTCCCTCTCCTGGGATTTTGGAATTGACCCTGAGACCTGAAATCAGTCTGGGACACTGGTTGGAAATGACACCTCATACATTCAGAATCAGGTCATATGCATAACCCCCAGATCTACGGGAGGAAGCAGAGATGGGAACCCTGCAGCTTCCCCCGGAGAGCTGGTTCCTGACCAGGTTCCAGTGCCTGGTGAATTCTGGCGTCACTTCCTCAACTTGGGTTCTAGGAGTCCTTGTCCCCCTGGAGTCTTCATAATAAATCTCTTTCACTGTAGAGTAGAGGGCTGGGGAGCAGGCTGGGAGCATGCAAAGTAGAGGGACAAAAGCTCAGGGGTAGTGGCAGGCCTGGGAGGGCAGCAGGTAACAGGATAAGCTAAGTACAGCATGAAATTCATCTCTGCACGTCCTTCAACCAGCGCTGTCCTGAACCCGGGCTCTCTAGCCTCCCTCTCTTTCCCCACCCACCTGGATGCTCCAGCCACTCACCTGCCACACAGATGTCAAAGTAGTCCTCAAATTCACTTCGGATGTGCTTCACGAGGTCTGCAGCATAGCTGAAGCCCCCCTCCTCAGTTTCCCACTGGTCACCTATGGGGTCTGCAGGGTTGGTAGAGGTCATGGTCAGTGGCTCTTGCCTGACTTCCAAAGAGCCTTTTGCTCCCTCTAACTACCCTGATACCCAGGGCTGTGARCTCCCAAAGGCAGAGGCTGCGCAGTGCCTAGCTCTGGGTCTCCTCTTCCTAGCCTAGCTCCTGGCGCGTGGTGGAGGAAAGCAGCCAGCTGTCAATGTCTGCCAAGTGCCGACTTCCTGTGAGTTTTACATGCCGCTCTCCACTGAGCACAGAGGACAGTGGTCCCTTGCCTGGCCCTGCTGCCCAGTGTGCATGAGCATCCTCTCCTGTGCCTCCTGCTCTCTTGAAGCTCTGTTTCCTGTCTATATCAAGTGAGAAGTGGTCCTGTGATGAGGAGCATGAGGCCACAAGATTCCTCCCAACCATCAGGGTCCCTCCTCCTGTTCCTGGGTGACCTGATGACAGTAGGTGCTCCTGGCCAAATGCCAGGACTGTATTCTGTGACTGGACTAGGTGCAGCCAGCGATTGACAGAATTGTGCAGCAGGACAGAGGGTTATCAGGCACCAGCGGCTCTCCCGCCTGGATTCCTATAACCAGCTAGGAGATGCAAGAGGCAGCCATGTCTGAGCAGTGCCCATGTAAACTCACTGACCACAATGCCCAGAGGCTGTGGGCAAAGAGGAGCCCTGAGATGCTCAGGATGGGCCCCAGGGAAAATAAAGGATTGCTCCAGGGACAGGTGAGGCCTTTGGGAAAGCAAGAACCCAGAGAGGAGGGGAGTGCTGGCTCCACACCTCCCCTTAGCGCCAAGATGTTCTTCAGGCCCAGCTGCTTGGCTTTGTGCAGATGGCCTGTGATCTCCTCCCGGCGCTGCCGGCAGCAGGTCATGTGCAGAATGGTTTCCAGGCCACAGTAGTTCACAGCGGTACTGGCAATCATCATGGAGGAGGTCTCCTTGTCTGATCCAGGGTCCCCTGCTGGGTGCCAGGTCACATCAATGAAGAGGGGACCACCTGCTGCCATCTGGTCAAACCTGTAGGGGATTTCTTTCTAAAAAGGTGTTCCTGGGGAAGCACAGCCTTTACCACCTCCCCATGGGGCCTGGGAGCTGAGGAGGCACAGCATGCAAGTTGGGAGTCAGAGCAGCCTGCATTCACCTCCCCCAGAGTCACTTATAGCCATATGATCCTGGGCAAATGACATGATCTCTCTGAGCCTCAGTTTCCTCACTTATTAGATGTTGCAGGTGACATTACCTACTCATAACAGCCCCCTGATAAACATGGCAAACAGCTCCATAGCTCTCAGTGGGAGCCTGGAGCACACAGCAAGCCCTCAGCAAGCGTCAGCGCTGTGTGCCACGTAGCCACCCTAGCCATCTCGGGGACTCTAGGCATTTGAATGGTCAGGAGTAAGGAGGCTCTCAGTGGCAGGCAAAGCCTCATTCTAGGAACAGGAAAAAGAGGGTCAGCAGGCACAAGATGCTTTTGTGCTGCCTCTCTGGCCACAGGACAGCAGCCAGCAGTCCTGGAGAGCAAGGCCGAGTGCCCAAAGCAGACTAGAAGCCTGCATGGGCACCCGTGTCACAACCTACGACAGTGTAATTAAACATCTTTGTATCTCTAAACCTCATAACCTTGGAGCGACACATGTGAAGTGCAAACAGTAAAAGCCACACATTTACAAAAGGAACTGAATTCATAAAGCGCTAGCATAATTAAGTTGGCATTGCTAGCTTGAGAAGCATAATCCCAATTTCCAATTTGCTGAAAACATTCTCTAAATTGCTGCTTTGTGACTTCCTAAAGCACTCATGATCCAGCCCCAAGATCTGCCAAACATGTAGTCTGAGAGAATCAACTTTTTTAACCCATTGGGGAGTGTGTCTAAAATTATCTGAGGCTGGGGAGGAGCATTCAGACAACTGAGAAGTCACAGATCAAACAGCCTCTCTGGCCGCTGCTCTCTTCTGCCCCCTCTGGCTGCCTTTTCCTGCCGGGTTAAAGTGCAGCCCAGACAGCCGGGCTGACAACTCCCGCTCAGCACAGCCTCCCAGCAGCTCACCTGGCGATGAGGTTGGCAGCTCCCTCGGCTGTTCGAGGAGGGAAGAATTCCAGGGAGAACCACTTGTCACCAGATTCCATCCTCCGCCTCATCTTCTCCCGGAGTCTCTCATGCCGCTCGGGATCCAGGCCGGGGGTGGAGCACCTCGAACCATCTCTGGAGCTCTCGCTGCCACTGCTGCTGCCCTCTGAGTGGGCGGTGGGGCCGCCAAGTCCTCCGGTCTCCATGGCCCGTCTCCTGCTGCACAGGGTGGGGCAGGGGGCCTCAGAAGGCGGGCAGCTAAGCGCCAGGCACATCCAGGCACCTGAGTGCAAGTTCAAGCGAGGGAGGAGGGAAGGCAGGTAAGGCTGCCGCTGCCCCTGCCCCTGCCCCTGCCCTGTGGCTCCAGGCTCCACAGCCACTGTCTGCGCTGCCCCACTCACGAGCTCTGCTCTCTGCTGCTGCCTGGCTCCCGGCATGACAACCCCCACCCCACACTGAAACCCTTGGTGACAGCTACCTGATGGAGGGTGGCACAGACCACCTCATGCTGCCAGCCTCTGATGCCCACATTTCTAGCGAGGGGCAGCGGAGCCGAGCTGGGAGGACTCTGGCTTTTCAATGTTTCATTTCTGTCAGCTTAGACCCAGAGTGAGGAGGGGCAGGAACAGAGGAACCTTCCCTTAGCGGGTATGCCCAACTGGGCGGAGCTGTGACAAAGGAAGAGCCCTGCGCTAAGCTGGGGCCTTCAAGGGGCGGGGGCAAGGTTTCCAGGCTCCAGGGAGAGCTGAGGCGCCAGTGAGAAGGCAGATGGAGGAGGGGGACCTCCGAAGGAGAGTGCACAGGCTGGAGAAGGATGGGGGTGGCGGTGTTGAGGCCCCAGACCTTCAGGGTCACGGGATCCCCCTCCAGAGAAGGAACAGCTTGGCTGGCTGGGCTGGCCCTGCCTGGAACATCTCCTGTTACAGTTTCAGTTTGTGGGCAAGAAGGAAGGAGCCGGGGCTGAGGCAGCTGGATTTCCCCTGAGTTCATGCTACTTCAAAACTGTGTTGTGGGTTAGAACCTGACATTGGCTTTATTCTAAAAGGAGCCCGCCYGACCCAGGTTCAATAAGGACACGAATTTATTTCCAACTCAGAACAAAGGCTGTATGCCTGCCTGCACACTACTGAAGTCCAAGCAATCGGTGACTGCAGAACCACCATACTCAAAGCCACGGCCAGGGCAACCACAGGCATGCCAACAGAGCACCGTGCCATATGGCAGGTGAATGGGGGAAATGAGACAAATATTTTAAAATGAAACAAAACATTACTCTTGCATAGCAATGGATAAACACCCAATGGTGACATTGGTATGTTGTGACATGGAGCGACACGAATGACCAGGTTTCAGGAATGCCCACCCCTAAGCCGGTGTACTCAACCATTTTGGATCTGGACTGGAGAACCTGGTGAAATCACTGCTCTTCTCCTGAGACACATGAGTATGGGACACACAGGTCACACTAGGGAACGTTGTCCCATCCCCCCACCGACATGCTCATTCTGATGACATGCTCATTCTGATTCCAGATTCTCAGTGGGGAGTGAGGAAGGGGGGATGGCAGAGGAGCTGGCTGGCAGTCACGGGAGGGCCTTATCTACTGCTGCTGGAACCCAACCTGGAGAGGAGGGAGGAAGCTGGAGTATTTGCAAATGATCTGCTCTTTACACTAACTGCATTCCTGGTATATGCCAGGCACATGCCATGGGATGCTCTCCTTCAGCCAACTCCCACTGTAGCACCTAGGTAACAGGTTTGTCTCCGTCCTTCATCCTTGTTATGCGTGGGTACTAGGTGTCCCCCAAGASCTCATGTGTGAGACAAGCAAGTAGGCTTAGAGGCRAAACAATTGGGTCATGGGAACCTTAACCCAATTAGTGCATTAAGCCCCTGATAGGGATAACTGGGGGGTAAGGAAGGCAGGTARGGGTGTGGCAGGAAGAGGTGGGCCACTGGGGGCCTGCTTTTGTGGTATGTATTTTATATACAGTGAGTGGAGTCTCTGCTTCCTGATCACGTCCTGGGTGGCTTTTCGTCACCACACCCTTCTGTTCTGTTCTGTTCCACTACATTGTTCTGCC